AGAGTGTGGACGTCTGAGTACCCCCATTAAGATTATTCTCTTTAACGATAGTCAACTTGCAGTAAGTAAGATTCATTGCTAGATGGGTAATAGTAATTTGCATCGTTTAGTGGCAGTTGAGCACAAAACCACATTTTCTTGATTACCTTTCGATCATTTGAAATAGCGATTTGAATTATGAATTTGCTTTGTAAAATTTTAAGCTACTAGACTGAACAAATATAGATTTTAACAAAATGTTAATAGTATATACTTATTAACCTAGTAAGAATGATAAATACCTTATGAAGTCGGGTACCTTTAAAATGTCAAAATAACTCAAAAGTACTTAGAGATATGTTTTGTATCTTTTCAAAACTACTACATTTTGTGTCATCATCCATCCTGCATCTTAAAATTTTGCTTTTAATACATCTGCATGCTGTCACTTTAGAATCTGCATTAACATGAAACTGTTGATACCGATAGATTGCAAATGATTTGCCTTTAGATATTTCAGTAAAAATGAAATTCCTTTTACATAAATTTTCTAAAACGAACTCATCAAAAAACTAATATTACACAAGAAACACTGACAGCAGTAATGGATAGTATTTGTAATCATCTAAGTAAAATTTAAGACTCATTGTTTGTTTCTGACTGGCAGAAATGTCACTTGTTATCAGACACTGGTTACACCTGTTAGAAAATTTGATGTTTCCTCAGCGATGATAAGCCACTTGTGCAGAACTACCAAATGCGCAAGTGTCACATCACCTTAGAAACAAGCTGGATATTACGGACATTGAAAACCCTGGACTCAAGCTAGATATTACGGGTTCTGAAGCTCAATGACTTTTCGCCGGTCATAGATTCATGTTATCCTAGGTAGGCAAGACTTCCTCAAAGAGGGATCCACAGCATCCTTGTCTACAGGACATCATCAGAGTGGGGTACAAGACCTGTGCGTGTGAAAAGAATTCCGGAGGTCGGAGTGATAAAGTGTTGGCAACCACCGCAGAAGGAATCCGCTAACAGAGACTCGTTTAACCATGGGTGGTCCTCCGATAACACCGACGAGAATTTTTTTTTTTTCAACCTCCTCACCGACCCCGAGTGCTCCCAACATACAGGTAGATAAGATTGCATAATGTTCTCTAAAAAGGCATAAACACTGGTAAAAATCCCTTTCTTTCAATAGTTCTTTGGGGGTTTGGAAATGACAGCGATATTAAAAGTCAATGATTATTTTTAATGGGGAAAAAAGCCATGAACATAAATTATGCTGCTGTTGTGTCATCGTTTATGCAAATACTTCTGCTTGCTTCCGTTAGAAAATTGCAGCAGAAGATTTTCAGGAACTTTTTCCTTAAGCAACTTACGAGGAAGTGAAAGAGTCGTTATTCGAAGGAATTAATCATGCTAAGTTTAATAAGCATCTTTGCAATTTTTTTAGAGGTTAGCGCTTTTAATATTACGAGGGTTACTGTTTAAACACGTTCAGCATTAATCACACAGATTGTATTAACACATTTTTAGAACGATTTCGGGGCCGTTTAATTAGCGTTTAGAATGTAAGGATTATTTTTTTAATGTGGTTTTCATGATAGAAGGATTCTTCGTAAAACTTCCAGGGATACTGCTTTCCATCCCTCTTCTATTATTTTTCAGAGTCCATTAATCATGGTGGGTTTGCGCTTAGAAGGTTTAACACTATACATTTTATGTAACTTTTTGAATTACATAATAGGAATATTTCTCTTCGGAAAACATATTCTTTATTCTATACCTTGTTTGCATGCGACATTTTGATAGAAGATTAAATTAAAAAAAGCAGAAGCTGTTTCTCATTTAAAATAATAACCTCTCGCCAGATATTTTTATTCCAAATCATTTGCTTCTTTTAAATTCTTTATCGAAATCGTTCTAAAAGTGTGTAAACATCATTTGTATTTTAGCTGATTTTTCCATTTTGAACAAAAAGATGAATGAAGTAGGAGTTTGAAATACAATACTAAAATGTGCGAGAAATTGATATCTAACTTGACTATTAGTGACTGCTGTAATGCGAACGTCTGTAACTTTTGTCTCGGTTGCATTGTTACTATATCATGCAATTTTTCGCAAATTTACTACTTTTGAACAATTCCATGTTAAAAAAAAAGGACATTTAAATAAAAACGCATGAAATTGCAATAATCCACATTATGATTAACAGGGAAATACTGTTAACAGCTTAGCTGTATTTCCGATCCGTATAATTCGAAAAATAAGCTGATTTAGTTATGCACATTAAAATAACATGCTTCAAAGGATTCATAGATGTGCACTTGATATATTTTCGCTATTGAGAAATTTACTTTTACAGACTTATTTAACAATGTTTACACATTTCGGATCATGTATAATTAAATTACGCACTGCAGCCAACTCCCCAAATACTACATCATACGCTATCCTGCCATGCCATAGCGCGCATTTTTCTTTTTTGTTGTAGTTGGACAGTTTCGTTTTACACTGTTAATTTTTAATAACAGTTTTTCCATCGTTCTGCAATATACAGATTTCATTACTTCTTCTCGCTCTTTTCAATTTATTGTTTCCATTTTCTTTTTTTAGAATATCCATTTGCTCAGCCAGCCGCCTAAAATAGTTAGCATAAGAAAGAGAAAAAATATAATATTTAATAATTAATATAAAATATTAAAAAACTGAAAAAAATTTAAAAAGTCACATAAGTATTTCACTTTTCCTTTTTAATTATGAATATTTATCATTGCTAAATCATAAAAATATAATCTATACTGTTGAATAACTTTAACACATAACTCAGACAGAATTCCATTTTTAAATTTTGTGCACTTCTTTTTGGAGCATAGAAGAGTGCAAACAAAATTATATATCAAAATATTTAAGAAGTTATATTCTTTTTCGATTATTCAAAAGTAATTATTTTTTTAACATTGTAACGAAATCTTATAATGAAAATATTATTTAGAAAGTAATATGCCTTTTTGAATAAATAAATAAAAAGAAACTAGAGAATAGCAATCTGTGCATTATAAATTTTCATCTGTACCATTCGATTTTATTTTAGATGCAAACGTGTTGAAGAAGTTTACGATTGCTGTATTGCAGAAGCTGTTCGTACATTTTTTAGACAAATTTCATTGTATTTATAGAAATATTTTACGCAAAGTTTCTGTCTTTTAATGTTCCATTTGATAACGCTTAATCTTTACTATGTTTCTACGTTGTAATTTTCAAGATAAAGAAGCCTTTTTTAGTATCGAAAGAGATATTTTATCCCATTCCTCTTGAACAGCTCTCCAGAGTCCAATGAGAACTATAGGTCGACGTTTGGACATTTCGCTTTTTTAAAATCCAAAAGTGCAAACATCCGTGGATGATACATCAAGAGATTTAGTAGGGATATGAGTGAAGGGTATGGCTTTGGAACCCGTTTCTTGTTCCATTTTTTCCAGGAAATGAACAGTAATTTTGATGTGCGGCTGCTTCCTTTGTCTTGATGCAGTAATACTGATTGATGGCACTGTGGGTACAGAGAAGGTATTTTATATTTGAAAATTAGGTATAAAATATGTTTCTGGTAATATGTAAAGTTGATTTTAAAAGTCTTCTATAACCTCTTTAATTTTTATCTGCCTTTACATAAAAAAAACAACAGGAATCATAAATCCCTTTGAAAACCATTCTTCAAATTCTTTGAACCATGTTCTAAGATTCTTCTTCTTTTTGGTGATACTAAATGGATCTCTTTTTATTTCGATCATTTAAATATACCAAGATTCATGATTGTGACAACATTTTCCCACTTTTGTCCGAATAATTATTTCTAATAGAGAATTCTGCAACGCGTTCTGTTTTCGGCGATATACCGTGAAGAAAGACGATGCACGTTACGTTTTTTCGCCGTTTCAAATCAGTATAATCTCTTTGTTTACAGTTGGCACTGATGGTTTTAATGATTATGCAACTGTCCTTTGATTTCGAAAATTGTCTTTTAACATTAAAGTTCTTACCATTTGCAACATACACGAAATATTCCCTTTTTTTTTTTTTTTTTTAATCTTGGATATGTATTTTGAGCAATTTTTCTCCTTGAAACCAAACTTTGAGTTTTTTTTTTTTTTTTAATTTTTTCTATTAAATGGGTTCTCTTTTTGACAATATTGTCTATTGTTGCTTTTCATACCGAAAAATCATGGCTTTCACATCATTTTTTAATAACTAGACACGAATAATTTTCTTCGGAACGAGCACAAACATACCCTTCCGTCCATTGCGTCTTTAAAATAGCCATTTTGCATGAAAACAAAATTGTTAAATATAGCAGACTGTAATTTATGCTTTCAAAAATATAGTTGCAGTTAAAAAGATTTCCAAGCAGACGATTTTTTTTTTTAATAGCAAAGCAAAATCGTCTAAAAATGTGCATACAGACTCTTTAGAAAAGAAATAGAAAACGGTTATCTATCACACATATGATGTTAAATAATACTTGTTGCAAAGCAAGTACTGTTAAAAAGTACTATAAAATAACTTTCTGACTTTTTTTGCACTCAAGAGCAATGTTCTTTCGTAGTATGGAAGATAAATGAAAGATCATAAACCTCATCAATTGCAGATGTAATGTTTTTCGTAGCGGACACAAACCACAGATTAAAAACAAAAACCACACGAAGTGATAATAAGAACACAGAAGCCGACAAAATTTAGAATTCTTTTTTTTACGGAAAGTGAACCTGACCTCGACAAAATGCAATTTAGTATTTTCGTTTACATTTTATCTAGACGATTTCTTTGACTACTCAAAAGACTGCTCATATTTTTGCTGTCAAGTAAAAATCAATCAAAATTCCTTGCAGTTGTTAAACTAGAATCTAAAGCATTGAACTGCAAAATTTTAATGTTTTTATTTATTTCCTGATTTATTTATCTAGTTATTCATGCATAGTTGTTTATTTTGCACTCTTAGTGATATGTTTTATTTTTTATAGTGTTCAGGAAGCACGAACTACCTCAAGAAAACATGATTCCTCACTTTGGCTTCTCAAAGGTAAATATGTATAAAAAATTAAATGAATTATTCTTCTTTGGTACCGTGCAATGCTCGATCGAAACTTTTCCTTCACCTTTTCCATCATTTCTGAACGAGTTTTATTGAACAAGATAAAAATAAAACACACATCCACTGTTCGTATTCGACAATCTGTTGTATACAAGCTGTTAAACAGTATAGGAATCAGTGTAATAACTTATAATGCACAAAATGTATAAAAAAATGCAAAAGAAAAATTTGGTGTTGGCGACAGGGGAGCTACTTTTCTGTACCGAGATACATATAACATATGAAAGAGACTGAGGATTGTTGTTAATTTTTTACAATTTTTATTTATTTATTTTGCCCCTGCTGCAAACTGACATTTTAAAGAAATTTTTAGCGGAAATATTCGTGTGTTCTTCCTCATAGAATATGATATTTCTTTATTAACTAGCCGTTTTCGCGGCCATCCGCCTAAAGTAGTTATCACAAAAAAAAAAAAAAAAAAAAAAGAAAAGAAAAATCTGAAAGGTTTCAGACTTTAACGCTCTTCCAAAAAGGTTTGTTAATGTTTTTTACTCTCGATGAATCCGCAGTCAACCGGTCTGCCGCTGCACTCACTCACAACTAACCCTTTTTTTAACCCAAAAAGGGAGTTAGACCGAATGGGTTACGAAACGATTTGGCGATATATCACTTTAAGGGGCTGAATCACTTTTCGCATTGTTGCCAAGAAATATTATCATCTTGCATTACTTTTAAAGAAGTTAAATAATGAAGTATGAATCAATGAATGTATGTATGTTTCTTCGAGTATGAAAAAATGACGGTACCTAGGGCCATAAAATTTTGAATAACGTAGTCTTAATATTGTTTCGTAGCAGGTCAGCAAAATGCTGAACTCTAACAATGTTCAAATGCAGAAACATGCACTTAAGAATCAACTGCATAGTGCTGTTTAATGGATGAATAAATGTAGCGAAAATGTATATAATAAAACTCTTAAAAAAATCCCATCTATCTGCACGCTAATTTCCTTACTTACGTTATAAATTAATTAAAATAAAATAAAGAAACATATATAAGATAAAAATGTGTAAATCAGCTTTATAATTTTATTTAGTAATAACCGCTTCATTCCTCATTTTTAAGTTACTTCTTCTTTATTCTAAAAAAAGAAGAAAAATTTCTGGACTGCGTCATTTCTAGATAAATCTATGTTGCATGGCTCGCGTAACGTTGATGACGTAGCTGATTTGGAATCTAAACGCAAAACTTCGAGGAAAAAAAATAATAAAGAAATTAATTTTCTGATCTAAACTGAGACTTTCCTCTTAGTGATCTTCTATATTGGTTAAATGCACACTTTAGCTTCAACTTTTGTGCTACATGAAAACTCTTTCTTATTAATAACGTTTTGTGCATTTATTTTGTAAAGTCATGATCATTATTTTGATGCTGAAGACGTGAAAAATGTGCAATGCCCTTGACGGGACTCGAACCTGGACCTCTCGAATACGCGCCAAGAGTGGTACCGTTACACCACGAAGACATACAGAAAGGATGGGGAAATGCGTTATATGCTAAATATATTAATAGCTGCGAATGGAAAACTTGATAACCGACATACAAGGGATTATTCCGTACTGCCATGCAATATACAGGATTAGAAACATACTTGATTATTTAGAGTACTGACATACACGTTCATAAAAACTGAGAATTATATTAATTATTACATTGCATCAATTAAATGTGGTGCAGATTTGCATAAATATATATATCAGCTAGATATGTTGACAAATATATATATATATATATAAATTATTATCAAGACCGTTTATTGTTTTCGAATCGTCCAACTGGTTAATCAATAACAAATTAATTAAATTTAAAAGAAAAGACCTTTGTTGAAAGACAATATTCTATTTGCTAGATTCTGGTAAGTTAAACTGAAAATAATATTATCTTAGAATGGCAACACTTCCAATGTTGCCGACGTGATAATAATTTTATTAGTATAACATACATAATTGCTTAAAAAATTAAAACAAATTGAGCTATAGACAACATGAACGTTTCGTTGACACTGCAAAAATAGTTTTTCAGCCTAAGACTTGCAGCATCGATATTATAGGCCTTTTAGATATTATTGCCTTACCTTGACATTCGAACCCTTGCAAACAGTTGCTGACGTTACTAACTACTATGCCACCGCCAACCACTCAAAATGACTGTCGGCTTGCCAGTATTTTAAGTGCCCCCATGCTTCACTGACGAAGAAATGAAAACTACTGTGAATAACTGCCTAACTAATTCTTTGCAAAATTGGAACGGAGCTGGGCAAACTCAAGTTGGTACGCTTGCAAGGGGCCCAAGGCTTATACTAATAACAACGAGAAATCCTTGTGTCTTCATCCCGACAAAATTTGTGGACTGATCGAGTTGAGGCTCAGATTAGTAACAACAAAAACTAATATGGGTAAAATGATAACGGGCATCCTTCTGTCCAGACTTGATTTAGGTTTCTGTCTTTTGGAACAACGGCTGATTTGCTTAAGGGGCCGAAACTTTAAGATAGAATACCATTATGAAGCGGCTGCAAAGAAAAGGGGGGGGAGTCTGCATAATTCATAACCAGATAATATTCTTGTTTTTTTCAAGCAATTCAGTAAAGCGTATCGGTTTCATAGTATTTCGCTGACGCGAGCAGCATATACAGAGTGTGAAAATGAAACTGGCGCCATTCGTCTGCGTTCGTAAACGTTAAGCTCCTTCGAAAAGAATCGTCATTAGTCTTTAACGGGGTTGTCATTCTTCGCCATGGTAACATAGATCTCAAGCGTCCTATCCACCTATCTCGCGTAAGACCGGCAGGCAACGGGAGCCGAGAAATTGAGCAAGGGGGGAGCAGAGGCAAGAGTAGATCCCAATTACGCGATCATTTGGTGGCCGATGACTGGGTGCGGCGCGCGCCCCAGGGCTCCGGCGACCACGCCCCCATCCGCCGCTGCCTTCGCCTCAGTGACACCCTGTAGCCAGTGCCTCAAGGACGAAATCCTCTCACCACAGTTTCATTTTCCAGATCACTCTCTAATCGGGACGCACCTCCGCGGGCATCGGCAACTGGTTTCGGTGTCCAGGAGAAAGCGAAGACTGCACACGCACTAAATAAATAATAAAGAGCTTATTTGCATTTTTTGAAACTTCATCGTCTCCAGGCTTGACTGAAAGCTGATATTAGGGCCTGCATTCCGGGAAACGAATTGTGGCCGATTAATAGTGCTATTCTGTTATTAGATTCTGAAGAAGCAAGACACCGATTCCTTCTTTCCTTGAAGGGTGCTTGTAATGATTTATTCGTCTCGTTATTTTGTACAAAGTGCGCTTTGTGGAGAAACGATTTTCATGCATAGAAGTTTTCGTGGCTTCTCACAACAGGGACAATTAAAATTTGTGTAAAACAGAGAACTCTTCCTAGCAAATCACCGAGGAAAAGGCAATCAGTTTACCTCGAGTCAACCTCCTCTAGTTTTTTAATTCCAACCATAATTACCCACCACTGGCACTAATTATTACGCACCTTTATGTTAATCGGTTCGTTTGTGAGACTCTGTTAACAATGAGGGTTTCCAAATATAATTTGTAACTATCACAAATTTAAATATGAAAGCCATTACAACAATTATTATGGCACTGGTAAACCCCACTGGATGAAGAAGCGAAATGTTACTATTCTCCATTTTTACGAGACTTCTCTCTTGGCTTGATTACGACAAAGCACTCAAGGGTTTTCTGCTCAAGGAGAGGGATACCTTCATGGAGGATTTTCTAAGGGAAAATGGCTCGTATACACGATGCACTTAGGGAAATCCACGCGAATTCTTCCTGGATTATTTGGCTATGACGAAGCACATTTGGACTTTCTGCCTAAACCTTCGTCTATGATTTTCTAAGGAAAACTGGCTCGTATTGTCATTACGTATAGCCGAAAGGCCGAACGTGAAGTCAATCCTTTCGACGGGATCCGAACTCGCATCGAAATATCAGTGGTCAGCAGTTTTATCTGCTTGACCGTTGATGCGTTAAATTTTATTTTATTTATTTATTCCTTTTTTATGTTGCATGAAATTTTTTTCACGAACCTGCAGGGATAAATAATTCTAAATAAGGTAATGTTTATTATTACAAGTAAAAAACAGTTAATATGTTTGGCTTACGACGTGTAAAATTTTTGTCACCAGTCTGTAATGAAGAAACGAAGAAACATTTTAAATCAGATAGTATTACAAGTAAAAAAAAAAGTTAAGGCTGGTATTTTTACGTTGTGTGAAGTCTTTTGTCACCAGTTTGCAGTAATAAGTTAGTTATTTTAAATCAAGGAATGTTAATATTACCAATATTAAAAAAAAAAAAAAAATGCTACAGCCTTGGATGAAACATTGCTTCGATATTCGTAAAACATGGAATTTTATCTATAAGCTGCTAAAAATTGAATCGTTCAATTTGAATGGTTTGACAGTTTTAGAAGTAAATATATTTTATTGCTAAGATCTTTGAAGCATACTGTCGGATTTAAAACAAATTTTAATATTCCTCTTTTTCTAGCGTTTAATAAGAACAATGGTCAGTGTGTTAAAAATCAGAGATCCGTTTATGTTGGAAGAAAAAAATTATGTGGTCACATAGATTCTCCGATCTAGCTGCAAACTTGAGATTTGACTAATTGTCAAAAAGCTAATTAAAAAAAAAAAACTTGAGCTAATTTCCAATTACGCTGAATATGCTGAGAAAAATTTGTTTGTTCCTGATCTTGATCCGTAATGAAACTCGTCGAAATTATTGCCAGTTCACCATAAATGATTTCATAAGTTGAAGAAGTTGTGCATTATTCAAACATCTTCACTTAATTCTTCGTTTTATTTTACAGTATTAATCAAATATTTAAGAATCAAAACAAAATTCCAGTAAAAACTAATTTTGACGATGATTCATGAATTTACTTATTTAATTTA